AAAAATAATATTTAAGAAATGATTTAAATTGGACAACTTTTATTAATAAAATTTATGTTAATAATATTAAATTATAATTTTAAAAACAAAAAATGAATAAAATAAAAAAATTTAGATTTATACCCCTAAAAATAATAAAAAAAAATTTGGAAAGTTAAAAAAATGATTATTAATCATATCCCTATCCCTAACAATGAAGAAAAGAAAAAATCTCAACAAATTTGCCGTCTAGCTGGCACCACTAAAAGTAAAATAAAATATCTTTTATAATTTTAGAATTTAAATAGTCACTTCACTTCCATATGGAATTTTTAAACTAATAAAACAATAAATTTTTTAAATAAGTATTTGCGATTCCGGATGCATTTTTTCAATTAAAATATGAATTTTTTTAAATATAATTTAATAATTTAGGCGAGCCATATTTTTCATAAATGTAGTGTTAAGTCGAGTTTTTTTAAGTCGTACTGTAATTCTGAGCGTTTTCCGTACCTTTGCATGTTGGCTAAAGATTTTTTGTCGCAGCAAAGTACATCCGTTGAGAGCGAGCGTGTCTTCTCAAGAGGGGTGGACACCGTAACAAAGAAAAGAAATCGCATGGCCTCCGAAACACTTAAACAGTGTTTATGTTTGATTCATGGGATATCAATATCATGAATAATAAATTTTATACATAATTTTTATATCTATATATATTGTTAAATTAAATTTTTTGTACATTAATAAATATATATAATTTAAATAAAAATATTTAAACTATAAATGTATCAAATATTTAAGATGATTTGAGCTTAGTATTCTTGTTTCAGGCTGTTGTTTTTTATGAATACTGGAGAATATTAGTGTTTTAATATTATTTGACTAAATTGATAACTAAAATAGTTTTTGATATTAAGATTTAGAATTTTGAACACTTGAGAAAAATTACAAATTAAAATTGATACTGGGATTAACTTTGAACCATGTTATAAAGCGCTATACTTTTTTTCAGGCGTTAATTATTCACTATTTTATTAAGAAGAATATTATGAGAGCAATTTTTCTCATAGATTATATAAAGGTATAGATATCTATTATCGTAATTTCAGGATTAGTCAATATTTTTCTTGCTAAATAGGCTTATAACGAGAGATTTTAAATATTAAATGCATATAAAAATTATTAAGATATATTTATAATTAATTCCAAAATCTTAATCCTTTAAATTAATAATTATAAATCTACACAATCTAGTTTTCCAATATAATTTAAAATGTCATCGATAGAGATTGATATAAAAGATATTGGTGCAGATAATATATACAAAGTTATTTCTCTGTACAATGATATGTAATTTCCTTCATGAAATATCGCATAAAATTTATTCTCGAAAAAAAACAAGGTATAAATATCATTGTAAGATGTGCCAAGTAAATTTTATCCTAACTAGAAACTTCAAAGAGGAAATATTTTAATATCCTTAAACTTAAAAATATAATATGAATAAAACATAGATGAGTTTATGTGATAGTTGATTTTCTGACCCAGTCTATGACAATAACATATTTAAGAATTTTTTTATAAATTAAAATTACAAGAAATATATTAGCATCTCATTTTATCACTCAAAAATTATTATGTACCTTACTACTCGTATATATAATAACATTTTTTGTCCCTTATCTATGATACTTCCTCACTGATATTTTAATTTAACATGTTTAGGATATATATTTTTAGTTATTTGCTTTAAAAAAATTGGAAAAAGTTTAAAAATAACGATTATGACAATTGTCACCTATCTATGATACATCCTCACTGAATTTTTAATTTAACATGTTTAGAATATATATTTTTAGCTATTTTCTTTAAAAAATGTTAAAAATAGCGATTATGAAAATTGTCACCTATCTATGATACATCCTCTTAAATTTTTAATTTAACATGTTTAGAATATATATTTTTAGCTATTTCCTTTCAAAAAATTTGAAAAAGTTCAAAAATAGCAATTATGACAATTGTTACCTATCTATGATACATCCTCACTGAATTTTTAATTTAACATGTTTAGAATATATAATTTTAGCTATTTCCTTTAAAAAATTTGAAAAAGTTCAAAAATAGCGATTATGACAATTGTCACCTATCTATGATATATCATCACTGAATCTTTAATTTAACATGTTTAGTATATATATTTTCAGATATTTCCTTTAAAAAAATTTGAAAAAGTTCAAAAATAGCGATTATGACAATTGTCACCTATCTATGATATATCTTCACTGAATTTTTAATTTAACATGTTTAGAATATATATTTTTAGATATTTCCTTTAAAAAAATTTGAAAAAGTTCAAAAATAGCGATTATGACAATTGTCACCTATATATGATACATCCTCACTGAATTTTGAATTTAACATGTTTAGAATATATATTTTTAGCTATTTCCTTTAAAAAAATTTGAAAAAGTATAAAAATAGCGATTATGACAATTGTCACCTATATATGATACATCCTCACTGAATTTTTAATTTAACATGTTTAGAATATATATTTTTAGCTATTTCCTTTAAAAAAATTTGAAAAAGTTCAAAAATAGCGATTATGACAATTGTCACCTATATATGATATATCCTGACTGAATTTTTAATTCAACATGTTTAGAATATATATTTTTAGCAATTTGCTTTAAAAAAACTCAAAAAAGTTCAAAAATGGCGATTATGACAATTGTCACTTATTTATGGTACATCTTCACTGAAATTTTGATTTAACATGTCTACAATATATATTTTCATCTATTTCATTTAAAAAAGTTCAAAAATAACCATCATAACAAATGGCTCTTTTCTATGGTGCATCTTCACTTAAAAATTTTAAAAAATAACTATGATGAATAGTTAATCCAGAGCATTATAATTTAAAGAAGCTTTAAGTAACTTTCCCGCCTATAATATTAATATATACTAAATGTTATTTGACTTTTGGTCGAAAAAAATGATCTAGAATTGGGTTAGGGGTGAAAAAAAGCAACCCTAACTTTAAGTCGTCTTTAAAAAAAAGATCCATATTTTGGGTCGGATTGAATAAAACGACCCGATGTTTGAGTCTGAGTCAGAAAAACGACCCAAACTTTGAGTTGGAGTCGAAAAATACGACCCAAACTTCAAGTTTGAGTCAAAAAATACGACCCAAACTTCAAGTTTGAGTCAAAAAATACGACCCAAACTTCAAGTTTTAGTCGAAAAATACGACCCAAACTTCAAGTTTGAGTCGAAAAATATGACCCAAACTTCAAGTTTGAGTCGAAAAATACGACCCAAATTTCAAGTTTGAGTCGAAAAATACAACCCAAATTTTGAGTCGGAGTCGTAAAAAACGACCCATATTTTGGGTCGAGGTCGTTTTTTTCGGCTTGGACTTGGGTCGGAGTCGAAAAAAACGACCCATATTTTGGGTCGAAGTCGTTTTTTTCGGCTTGAACTCGGGTTGAAGTCGTAAAAAACGACCAAAACTTTGAGTTAGAGTCGAAAAAAACGACCCAAAATTTGGGTGAGCTGCGTTCGAGCCGACTCGGCTAAGCCGATTAACAACACTAATAGATTGTTATAATATATCACTTAATTATTTGATTATTTTAAAGCTTATTATTTAAAAATCATGGTTATTGTATTTGAAATAAAAAAAATGGATATATTTAATATGGCTACAACTTTAAAATCTGTTAAGATATTGGAATGATATTTTCAGGGTCATAAGTTTTTAAAATCTAGAAAATCAAAAAAGTTTATTCACAATAAATAAGCAAACATGAATAGGTTAATTTATGTGAAAATTATTATGTACTCTATAATTTTACTAGTGCTGTAAACATTTTTAAAAAAATCGAACGCGTTCAACGTTCATTGACAAAAATCGAACGCGTTCACGTTCAAATTCAAAAAAAGGAACGCGTTCAAGTTCATGAACGCGTTCATACGTTCAAAATTTTATGATAAATTTTTTTTTAAATTTAATTTAATATAAATAAATGCCTTATATTTTTCAACACAATATATTAGCCATGATAAAAAATAATAGTTTTATTTTGATAATATAATTATAAATACAATATAATAGAGCGATAAAAAAAAAATTTTCTTATTAATTTTTAATAATAATTGCTTTTCAAAATTTTCATCTGATGCATGAACACTTGTCAGTTAATACAGCGTTAGCTATACTAAAAACTCGCTCAACAGAGGCAGATGAAGGGATTGCGGTGTTATACTTGATAAACAATTCTTTTAAAAGGGGGAATTTATATGTTTTATCCATTGTTTCAAAAAATTGCGCTATGTTATCATCCTCCAATCTGCCCTCTTCTTCCTCGTCAAAAAAAAAGGATATCTCGGAATTGATTTTAAAACAGTGAAATATTTTTGATATTTGGGCCATGGTAATTCTAATTCATCTAATATTGAATTTTGATTTTCAGAATCTGATGATGAAATATTTATATCCATGCAAATGCTAATCTATTAAATTAAAATATAAAATATTCAAATTAATAAACTTTAATCTTATCTTCTCTAGCAGTAGCACTATGGTACTTTAATTGCAATATGAAAAAGGAAAAAGTAAAAACAGCTGATTAAAAAATATAAGACTTTTTTGTTAAAAAATTGGATTAAATATTAATTTTTCAAATAAATAAAAATATAAGACTTTTTTGTTAAAAAATGCGGATTAATATTAATTTTTCAAATAAAAAGTGTTTTTAAAATTAAACGAACGTAAAATTGAACGCGTTCATCAAAGAAAAGGAACGCGTTCACGTTCAAAGTTCGTCAAAAAAAAAGGAACGCCGTTCATCACCTTTTTTCAAAAAAACGAACTTCGTTCACGAACGCGTTCATTTTGAACGCGTTCGTTTACAACACTAAATTTTACACATTTATTTATATAAGGAAATATCTTATAATGATTAAAATTAAACTGCTATTTTGAATACTAATTTTTAAAAATATTAAAATAATAGTAATGATCCCGAGTGAATGGATGGAAAAGGTAGCACCTGCAAACCAGTTAAATATATAACCGTTGATAAAAAATAAAGGCAAAAAATTGCTTCGGGTATGCATAAATAGGAGAATCTACGAACTCGCTAAGAATATAACCGTTTCAACATGGACTGACGATAGTCATAGTCGTAGCCAGAGAGGGAATCCTCTGAAAATTATATATTCTCGTAATTAACTTTTTAAGCGAATAACCCCCCCCCCTCTACACAACTCTCTCGCCCAAAAATAGCAATAATTTAAAAGAAAAATAAGTAAAAGTTAAGAATTTTTTGAAATAATGACTTATATTAAATTAAATATTTTAAAAAAATATGACAGCCCTAGGCTTACAATAAGTGTGCTTAAAGACTTTCATAAAATTTAAGGAGGAAATCCCCCTCCCCCTAAAATCCTTGATGCATCTATGATTGTATTATAACGGGAAAAACACCCCAAATTGTCGAAAATTGTTTCAGCTTAACCAATTGAATTATTTTATTTTTTAAAAAGGTTAGAACCTATAGTTCTATATGGTGGACAAGAATAATATGTCTTAGTATAAGATGAGTAAAGTGTGAATTGCCAAAAAAAAATTTCGGGTATATTTTTATTTCCTAAAATTAGTTGTTTTCACTTTAATCTATATGAATGCTATAATATAACGGGATGAAAATAAAATAATGCATTGATTCGTTTATTCGTGATTATGATGAACAGAAAATAGGTAAAACAATATTTTGAATGATAAGCTCCAATAAAATTTTTTAGTTTTTAAAAGGATTGGTAATTATTATTCATAATATTTTTTTTATCCCTTTATAGTTTGTTTAATAGTCATGGGAGATAAAACTTATCTCAATTTTACTTTTTAAAAGTAAATAGTTCCGTTTTTAGGTTTTCGCCAAATAAAAGCAAGCATGATTTTCAGAAGCTGTTCCATCTTATAATGGACAGAGTTAACTCCTTTTCTATTATTAAATATTTCACAGATATCGGTTTATATAAAGTATTCCAAATTTTTGAACATTTAGTCATAATAGAGGCATTAAATATTTCAATAAAATGTTCTTCCAATTAGTGTTGTTAAAAAGCCCGATTCGGGTCGATTTTTAAAAACGGCCCAATTAAAATTTTCGCCAAAAGAATATTATGTAAGACTCGAGATTTTGGCAAATAGATATCCAAACCTTTTAGCTATCTGAGCAAAATCTCCAGGCCTATTGTTTATTTTGGTTAAAGTTAGGGCTAGGCCGATCCACATATTTTTTACCGATCCGATATTTTCCGATATTGCTTCAATACGGATCCGATATTACTAATTTTTAATCACTCCCGTTTGAACCAAATGTAATTAAGAAATCAATAGTTTTTATGCAAAAAATCGAATTATGAATAATTTAATTTTTTTTTTCTACAATTAAGACTATAATAAAAAAATAGATATTTAATAATATATCCATTTTATGTTGGAATTATAAAATTGTAATATTTAATATATAAAATTATAATATATTAGATTTTTTTAATAAATATGAGAGCCTCTAGATTTTCTGGGAATAAGCTTCTACTATATGGACTATCTATATCTCCTGCCGTACTGAAGGCAGACTCATATGATTCCGCAGATAACGCATTTTGCAAAATTATCTTTGTCTTTTGTAAAATATTTCCATAATTCAGATACCATATTTAAAAAAATTCTTTTATTTAAAGTATATGGCGTTATTTAAAAAGATTTAAAATAAATAAAAATTTGGGTGTTCCTTTCGATTTTTATAAAAAAAAACTTTTAAAATACTATAAATCTATTTTTAAAAAAATAAAATTTTAAAAAATTATTTAGAAATATTATAATAAATCAATCTAAAATAAAATAACAAAAAAAAGATCGGATCGGTTTTTCTAAGGGTATAGGTCCGATCCGGTATTTTCGGAAAATGCTAAATATCGGTACCGATCCTATCCGATATTTAATATCGGCACACTCCTATTTAAAATCTATGGCCGTTTTTAAAAATCGACCCGAATTTGAGCTTTTTAGCACTATTTCCATTCTTAACATTTAAGACTGCAATCAAACAGAGTATGATTAGTACATTTAATATAAACGTTGATGTAAATAAGAACTGAAAAAAAGAGTTTTATTATTAACTTCTAAACTACTAAGTATTTTTTTTAATGGAGTCAAATACAAATGTGTCACAACTGCCCAACTTTAGCATTTTACCTTATCAGATTAACATTTTATATGATTTTTAGTATAATTCAGAGACGAGTAGAACTCTAAATTTGAAAAAAGGTTCAGCCCGGAATTTTAAAAATTTAGTTATTTTGCATTATTTTAACCCGTTACCAAGGTATCCTTAAAAAAAATTATTTTTCTTTAATAATACATTAGTATAAACATTTATATATCAAAATTTCAAAAAAACTATTCATTATATGATTTTTTGAATGTTCCAAAAATCTAACATTGGGAGGTAACAAGTTCATTTTTTAGGGAAATAATTTTGAGAATTTTATATAAAAAAAAGTACATCACATTTATCAAACTCATATGTTAAATTTATTTAGTCCCATTTATGTGAATATTTTCTGTACATCGTAAATATCTAAAATGGTATCATCTTCACTAATTTAACAGTTTTATAAATATCGAAATTTTTGACTAGATATAAATATCTTCTTATTTCTTGAAAACGATTTCTAGAAATTTTTTGGAGATAAAATATGAACCTATATCTGCATCGAGACCAATATAAAAAGTAATACCAAAAATATCCATCTTGAATGTCAAACTAATGATTTAATTTTTGATAAGCATATAATTTGGTTTGATTTATAAGTTAATACATGTCTTCATCAAAAACATAGAAAATTATTATGGAGGGGATTTTACATCATGAAAAGAATTTTCTAACTAAATTGGTTCTTTTGAAAATAATGCTTTTTCGCTATTTTTTTCCCATTTTATATCTAAATTTTTATTCTTTCAGATGGTTGTATTTATATATAATGTTCTATTGATTTTTATTAAAATTCATATACAAATATGATAAAATATTATTATTTAAAAATTAACATGGATGATATAATATAAAGAGTATAGTAAAATATGTCATATAAGTTCAAATTAAAAAAAATTAATACAAAGCATAAGAAAAATTTATTTTAAAAAGAAAATAATTTTAAAAATAAATCAGGTGTTTTAAATATTTGATAGATCTAATTAAAAATAGGCGATTTTCTGCTTGAGTTTATAAAATGGAAAAAGGTATGATTTTTTGATTGATTTGGATATTATTTGAAGAGATTTAGTGCTACTTGTACAAAAGAGCAGGTTGATGTAGCTGATGGTAACAAAGTGGTTGTCACACATTAGGTGCGAGTAATTTTTAGAGATTCAGCTCTATTAAAGGTCATGCAAATTATTAGATAGGTTCATTGGATCAATGCAGGTAAAATCCCACATTAAAGGCTTTCCCATTAAAAACGATACGATTGTTTTGCCATCAGGACGTTTTTTATCTAAAAAAGATGTCGGTTCTAAAATACAAGGAAAATTGGCTTTATTTAAAAAGAAGCTATTATTGAATTTATTTTATCACGTCGGCTAATTTTTTATATAAATTTACAGTGGAGAGCGTGTCTCCCGTACTCGTCTGCCGATTAATTGCAGTTAATGCAAGTATATTGGTTTAGGAAAGGTATGCCCAGGCGTTAATTGATTGCACAACGAAACGAGTCGTTATCTATTAGTTAGTTATTTAAAATTCTGGGATATGAGTCCAAGCATTCATGGCCAGAGTTGTTAAAATTAAGTGTTCTTAGGAGGGATTTATATTAGTGATCATCGCTCAAGTTGAGGTAGCTAAGGAATGAGATACCAATCCCTGATCCCAATCTTTTTGTTTCGTTGAATCTGGTAGGGCTGTGTTTGGTAAGACATTAATATTCCAACAATGTAAGGCTTCATCTAATAAATTATCGTTATCGATGGTAATGATTTGAGAGGTAATATTTTTTACTATTTTGGTTGATGATATGAAGGAAACAAGGGCTATACTTAATGCCAATCTTAGGCCTAGATTCATATTCTGACTCTTTATCTCAACTTCGCAACATCATCTAATTGTTTTGATGATATATATTTGTGCCATTCCATGTCAAATCGATCAAAAAAGGCACTTTTTCGGCCGACCCCTTTTAAAATTGTTAAAATTTTCTGGAATTATTTAGATAGGTAAAAGAATGAGAAAGCCGTTTATTTTAGCTCGCTAGCCCAACTGGTTCTCGAGATATAGGGGCTCAAAGGTACAAAAAGAACCACTTTGGAAAATTTTTTAAATGCTTATATCTCAAAAACCATTTATAGTAAAAAAAATTATAATATATCATTTTGTAGGTAAAGAAATTCTCTAATGGGCTAACAAAGAATAATAAATATTGGGGCCATTATAGGCTTTTAACATCCGGTTTACATAAATTGCTTTACCTGTATTTTTAAGCAAAATAGTGAAATTGTTTTCGAATTTTTTTTTTGCTTTTTATTTAGACATTTTTTATAAATATATATACGATGAAAACCTTGGCGACGCTATCGACTTTGCCGAAATATATATTTTTACCAAAAATGAAGAAATAAGTAGATGGCGTTAATGGTTGAAAAATATTATTCTTAAGGAAAATGAAAATATTGATACGTTTATAAGAATTGTGATAAAAATTTTCCAGTTCTGCCCTCCCCCCCCCCCTTCCACTATCCATAAAATGTTTTACATTTTTTAGATCTCTACTTTGCTACTATAGCAAGCGAATGACTTATTAGCTCGATAATATATAATAGCTGCAGTAAAAACGAATATTTTATTAGGCATATATTCGATTATATTTTACAAAATAAATTGTTTAAAACGATCTCTTTCTGCGAAATAATGTTAACCTGTCCATTCAGATTAATTTTATCGTCTACCAATAACAATCTGGATTTGGAGAGTGCAAAAACATGTACTAGGTCTACAATTAAAATATTATTCTATATCACAGATGGACGTACCAAATATTAAAATGTTGCAACCTTAATCTACAGAGACATGCTTATTATCGTGAGAATCTAAGATTCTACCCTCCAAAAAAATTTACCATTCAATTTAGATGTTAATATGCTCTTCATGGCGACAAAAATTAGCAAACATTCCTTATACTTCAAATGACAATGTAGATATTGATCCCCTTCATATAATTAATCAAGAGACTATTGATAACATTAATATATCCCTACAATCAAATGGGGAATCTCTCATTAAAAGAAAACGCTTATGTGAAAAGAAATATCTAGAGTAAAAAAAGTTTTAACGACTAAAATTATACCATTATCTTCATCAAATGATGAAAAATTCGATGGAATTGTAGATACCTTAAGAATTAAAAAAATTATATGAAAGATATTTATTATTGGAAATTTGTTACATTATTAAGTGTCTAATGGGCATATGTCGACTCTGCTCCTCAGTTAATTAGTATATTTAATAAAAAATCAAAATTTTTTAGTATAAAAAGTGAAAATATCTGGTTATTGATAAGTTAGCAGCAAAATTTTAACCATAATCCGTAATTTCATAAAGCGCCATCTATTTTTTAATCAATTTTTAGATTCGATAGAGTCGCCAAGGTTTTGATCTTGTATATATATTTAGCAAAGGTGTCTAAATAAAAAGTACTAAAAAAAATTCGAAAACAAACTCACTATTTTGCTTAAAAATACAGGTAAAGCAATTTAGGTAAACCGGATGTTACTTGGCGCCAATATTTATTATTCTTTGTTAGCCCATTAGAGAATTTCTTTACCTACAAAATGATATATTATAATCTTTTTTACTATAAATAGTTTATGAGATATAAGCATTTTAAAAATTTTACATATTCCAAAGTGGCTTTTTTGTACCTTTGATCCCCTATATCTCGAGAACCAGGTGTGCTAGCGAGCTAAATCGAACGGCTTTCTAACTCTTTTACCAATCTAAATAATTCCAGAAATTTTTAACAACTTTAAAAGGGGTCGGCCGAATCGTGATCGATTTGACGTGGAATGGCCCATATCTTGATCGTTACCTTCATCTGTGACGTCTATATTATATGGTGGTGATACAAAATTTCACATTCATCATGATCCAAATTTTTTAATTATGCGTCTAAACCTGTTCTTAAATGAGTGGATTTCATGCTGGCAATAAAAAATCTAAAATATTATTAGAAATTAAATATTGAAATTTAGATATGGTTATTTACCAAAATATTTTACTCTTTGGAAAATAAATACCTTTGAAGCTAAAATTTTAATAAATTATATTTAAAGATATGAGTTATTAGTATATATTTTTTTTGAATTAAAAGTTTATCTAAACTAATTTTTCAAGTTTTTTATGCTAAAAAAAAATTAAGCAATTTTTAATGCTTATAAATTTTACAAAATAAGTTCAAAAAATTTTTGTTTGCATTTTAAGAAAGAAAAAGATATGGCGACCCTTTTTCAATTTATAAATTATAAAACAAAAGAATTTAATGCCAAGGTTGATGTTCCAAAAATCAAACATTGCCGATTAATGGGTAAAAGAATATGAGCAGTATATGGAAATTAAATTATATGATTTTCGAATTGACTCCTCCAAATCTCTGGTATAATTTAATTAATCATCATCTCAGAAAACATTTTTATTACAAAAAATAAAATCTTTATAAATAATAATACATATCGAATATTAATTGCATACATATTTCCATATTTGAGGTAAAATTTTAATATCGAGATGGTATGATTAAGAAATATCAATTTTCGATTTCTGAATATTAAAAGCTGGTGTTATCCAAGTTTGGCAACCACATTTCTCGCCTAAAAATGATAAAATAATTTACTATTTCACAAAAACATCATCCCTTAAGGAATATATTTTCAAAATATTAGTAAAGAATGTAATGACGTAAAAAATATTTGTTATATGATATTTACCAGCCCAATTAAAAGAGCCCAGTTTAGCTTTGCATTTGGGACAATGGATTTTCCCTTGAACTAAATCCGTAATTTGTTGTCGCATCCATGTAACAGGCTCTACAAAAATATAGTCTTTACAAACAGATTCAGTGTTCATATTATTGGGCGTGTGGTTATTATTTGAGTATTGATGATTATGCTGAAATGTTAGATAACCGAAACCTTTGAGATGGGTCAATAAACTGTCGTGGTAAAAAAGAGATCTCCTACAAACATTGAATATAAAAATTAGCAAATTTATTTTAATTTCTCTATTTTTTAAAAATTGAAAATGAACATTTTAATTTCTCTATTTTTTTAAAAAATGAAAATGAACATTTTAATCTTTACTAAATTTATAACATTGTCAAAAATAGAAATAATTAATTTGATTTATAGCACTTTATCTGGTAAAGAATCATTTCAAACGTGTATGTAACCCTGCGTTCACAGTTAGCGCGAATTCGCGGGGAAGTCTACAAAATATGATATAAATATAAAAATTTTACATTTATTTTTAAATACTTCATCGCGAATCCGCGTTAACTATGAATGCAGAGTAAATAAACGCGATTTCCTTAGATTTTTTATATAAATTATAAATGATTTAAAAGTTAAGAGGAACTTTGTATGAAATTTATGAGGTAGGTATTCCAAACATAATGGAAAACATTTCCGATAAAGACTTTTCAATTTAAAAAACGTGCTCAATAAATTATTTCATTTTGACAAAAAAAAAATATGGATGCTCCTTTGCATTATGACTAGTGTTATTAAGCGACCCGATTAAGATTTTGACCAAAATAATATAATGTAAGCCTGGTGATTTTTTCCATAGATGGCCTTAAGGTTTGGACATCTCTTTGCCAAATCTCGAGGCTTACAAAATATTATTTTGACTAAAATCTTAATCAGGACTTTTTTTAAATCGACCACGTTTAGCAACACTAATTATGCCAAAATTTGGATAATATAAATTTTTGTTAATTATTATATATTAAAACCTGATTTGCTTTACCAATAAGTAATATTCGTCCTTAATGAGTTAACTCAAAAATTAGATCAAATGAATAATTTAGTGTTGTATGATAAGCGTTATACTAAAAATAATAATCCTCAGCGTTAAGATATGTAAGCCTTTTTTATTTAAAATTGTTGATATATTGAATATTTTTAAGCAAGCTTGGTAAATTTCGGTGTAAATACATTCATAAAAGTGACAATTGTTATAATCGTTATTTTAAGCATGTTTTAGAATAATTTTAGTAAAGATTTCACATTTTTTAATAATAAAAGTTAAGACTTAAAACCGCTGAGGATAAAGTGGGCTCCTCAAACTGAAGTATTTGGCTAAGCAGGTTAAACTATTATTTGGATAAGCAAGTTAAACTATTTTTTAGCCTATTAAGTTTTTTCATGTAAGTCAAAAGCAGTTTTGGAGTTCCGATTATGCAACATTAGATTTATATTCTTTATTGTGTAATTTTTTCGAAAAATATTACCGACAATGTTTGCATTTATAAACTTTCTTTTTCAGATCCAAATTCATGTCAAGTTCATCACTATTATATAAAGGATCAGTACCAAAAATATTGAGCGGAATATCATCCTTATCTTAAATTTTTAAAAATATTTAAATTAAGTGTGTGAAGGGGTTAAATTTACTGAAAAATTCGTAAGTTTCAAGCATATTTTTGGCAAATTGATTAAGTCGATAAGCTCTAAATGATGGATCCGATAAATCCATCTGACATTTCAACGACTCATATATTCTTAATTGATTCATAAAACCAGGATTTGGACTAAATATTGTTTAAGCAATGTCTAAATATTAAGTTAATTCATCTAATAACCTTATTAATCTTTTTGAAGACACTTTACTTATGCTTTCTGTCAAGGTCAGGCTATGTCGTTTCATTAAATAAGCTATAAGAATAGTTGAACTTCGAGACACACCTTGAAAACTATAAATTTAAAATTAAAATGTTTGATATAACAATTTTGTTTTAAGAATTATCAAATTCATAGCTTTTGTTTTGGAAATATACCAGATCTTGATTACAACTTCTCTTATTATTTCTGGTGAGTTCTAAGGAAGGAACTAAATATTCACTGGTTTTCACTATACAGTACAAGCAGAGGTTTGAACCAAACCCGAAGAAACCCCGAGTTTTTGGAAAAAAATCTGAACTCGAACCCTGTATAAAATTTTCAAAACCCCGAACCGAACCCGGGATTTATTTGAACCTGGGTTCAACCGGGTTTAGTTTATTATTTAAATTAATATAAGATATTTGTATAATTGTAAATACAAATATTAATAATTTACTTGACATTTTATAATATTTTCAAATTTCCAATTAAGTGAAGTTTTAATAAATTTTAAACAACTTAATTCATTTACTCCATTTTTAAATTTATTCTCAAAAATTCCTATTGGATTGTTAATATATTTTAAACAATTAAATTCATTTACGCCATTTATTTTTAATTTTTAACAAGATTATTAAAGGAAAATGAAAGTTTACAAGTCAAATTAAAAATTATTATATTGGATATTGTTAATTTAAAGAAATACGTCTAAATAAAATTTTTAAAATCTATACATGACTATGCTTTGTATTTTTAACTATATTTTGCCTATAAATAAAATAAAAAATTTATACCAAATTTATGTCTAGTTTTTTTTTTTATCAATTCAAAAATTCTTAAACCCGAGCTGAACTTTCAAAAATATTTGCCTGAACTGAACCCACCTATTTTTTTTTAACCCTAACTGAACCCGGGAAAAATATTTGTCGGGTTCGCATCCCTGAGTACAAGCAATTTTAATGCCCTTTTATCAAATATAAAATAGGAAATTATAACCCCCCAGTCAATATTTCTAAGTGATAGGCAAATATTTAAGCACCCTTTCATCTATTCTTCAGAATCATTATTATCAGACTAGTATAGAAAGAAATCATTGAGGGCAACTTCTATCAGAAATGTTAATTTTATTTATTATTTATTATGTAATTATCTAATGATCTATTCTAAATGAGTGCAATCCGAGCAGAGTAAGATTGTAGTGTTAGATGAAGGCAAATGATTACTGATAAGTCAATCTGGTGATATTAAATAAACCACCAAACAAGATTAAAACAGAACATAAGAATAAACACTTAACTCAAATTAATAATTCAAAAATATAATAGTTTGTATCTAAAAATTTACTATTCAGAATAGAGGTGGTTAAGATTTATATAATCTTTATGGACTCAACTAAAATGGTAATGTAGGAAGTGGTGTGCGAGAAAAATCCTGATCTAGTAGATTTCTGATTTCTTATAATATAAAATTACACCAATTTTTATAGATAATCCAACTGATACTAACATTAAAAATAGAAATATTTTTTAGAAGTTTAATTTAATCACATTATATGATTAAATATATAGTTCTCTAAATCAATCTATAAAATTAAAAACAAATTCAAATTAACAGATATAAAGATAAAATTTTATAAAATTTGAGATTATGCTTAAGCCAGCTAAATTATTTATAAATGAATAGAATTATTCAAAATCTAAACATCAATCTTTCATCTTTAAAGTAAGATACATGTATATTATTTAACATTTTTATAAATTTAAAGGAATTTAAATAAATGAAGAATTTAATAAAAAAAAATATGTTATATTATTTTGTTAGTTTTGCAAAAGAATATTATAGTCAAATTTTAACCAGTGGATTAATATGGAGTTATCATTTTCTTGATTTTTTAAACAATCATCTATGAAGTTTGCACATTCATCAAAATAACTTAAGAGATTTTGATTGATTGAATCCTGAGCATAAATAAATTTATAGTAAAAGTCATTTGTAAATTTATTTGGAAGAGGTTGAATATCTAAAATGAATGTATAAGATATAATATAATAAAAATAATACCTATAGTAAGAATTGAGTTAACTTTCAACTTTTTAAGTTGATCGGTATTTTTTGCAGCACTTATCCCTCCTAAATATATATTTTTCACAATTTCATTTAAAGTGTCCATATGAGGAGATCATATGATGGGAATTGTGCCTATTATGGAAATAATTAATACCGAATATGGCAAATATCTTATTTACTCTAAAAGCCATTGTATGTCATATCAATCAAAAAAGGCACATTTTCGACCAATGGAAATGTTTAGATAGATAAAAAAATGAGAAAGCCGTTTATTTTAGCTCTCTAGTTTACCTGGTTGCAGATATATAGGGGCTCATAGATTCAAAAAAAAGCCACTTTGGAATTTGTAAAATTTTTGAAATGCTTATATTTCAAAACTATTTATAGTAAAAATTATATATTATATCATATTGTAGGTAAAAAAAATCTCTTAAGAGCTATCACAAAAGAATAAAAATTGGCACCATGAGCCTTTAGCTTCCGATTTACCTACATTGCTTTGCCTCTGTTTTTAAGCAAAAAAGGGAGTTTGCATTCGAAATTTTTTTTGCTTTAGAAATTTTTTTTTGCTCTATATTTAGACACCTTTTATAAATCTACATACGATGCCAAAACCTTGGCGACGCTATTAACACTTCCGAAATATGCATTTTACCAAAAATTGAGAAATATACATTTTTACCACCAAAAATTGAGAAATATATATACCCCTAATAGTTGAAAATATTATTTTTAAGGAAAATGAAAATATTGATACATTTATGAGAAATGTGATAAAATTTTCCAGTTCTGTCTCCCCCCCCCCTCATCCTTGAAAAGTTTTACATTTTTTTAGATCCTATTTTGCTACTATAGCGAATGACTTATTAGCTCGATAATGTATAACAGCTGCAAAAGAATATTTTATTAGGCAAATTTATGATTATATTTTACGAGCATATTATTTCACAAAATAAACTGTTTAAAAGTCTCTCTTTCTGTATAATATTTTTAACTTGTCCGTTCAGATTAATTTTAAATAATTCAAACCGTGCTCAATGCCCTAGATCTTCTAATTTAAAGGCCATGATAAGACAGATCTTTTAACTATCACTTCATCAACCTCCAATTTTTTAGAAACACTTTTTGAAAAGCTAAATAATTTACTATTACACTCATTCATAACAAAGCAGTAAACAATATGCATGAATTCTCTTAAAATTAATTTTAATGAAGGAGAAGAGAATATATCGTTCAGATAGATTTTGCTGAAAATTATGCCTTTGTGGTTCAAAATGAAGTTCAAGGGTTTCACTGGAATAAATCTCAAATTACCATTCATCCTTTTTTGATTTATTACAAGTCACTAATTAATTTAAATCATTTAAGTTTCGTAATAATATCTAATCTCTCGTTCATAATACAATTGCCGTTCATTTATTCCAAAAATGTTTAGTTCGCTACTTAACAAATAAATATCAATTCTGAACAAAAAAATTCTTCTACTTTTCAGATAAAGCAGTAGCACAATATAAATCGCAAAAATTTAATCAATCTTTGTCACCATGTAGATGATATAGGGATAAAAGCTGAGTTTTATTTCAGGGCCATATCTCCAAATCAGCTTGTGACGGGGTCGGAGGTACAGTCCTACGTTTAGTGGCCAGGACTAGTTAACAAAGACCTGTATCAGAACAAATAACTTATCCTAGAGTTTTTTGCCTATTGTAAAGAAAATATTAAAGGTATAATATTTATAATTATTATAGATTTCTCATATATCATTGAAGATGAATATGAGAAAGAGCAAATAATTTTATAAGAGAAGAGCGATTCAATAAAGCGCTTACAATATCAGGAACGCAAAAATTTCATACTTTTCATCTATTCAGGATAAAATTGAAGCAAAATTTTATTCAAACTCAACAGAATCGCAAATATTAAATATATAATTTTACTTGAATATTAAAGCGAATTTACTATATGGAAAAATAAATAGATATATAACATATACTATGACAATATCAGAGTTGTTAAAGAATCGAATCAAAAAATCGCCGATCCTGGATTCGATCCTAAATTTGTCAATTTTCCCAGATTTATGATCCTGACCAGGATTGCCATGTCTCCCCCCTGTAATAAATTAATAAATGATTAATTATGTATATTGTATATTAAAAATAGAATCGAACATTCGAAAAATAGAATAAAATATTTGATATCAAAAATAAATTTAAATATAAATTAGTACTCGTATTGTTTATAATTTAGTAGTTGGTATTACTACAAATGGCGACGATAAATGGAGAAAATAATTCCTTAAATGGAGATAATAATTCCTTAAATGGAGAAAATAATTCCTTAAATGGAGATTCAAAAAAAATAGCGGATTTATCTACGATTAAATTTGATAAATTCGAGTTGGATACTTCTATCCACAGATATTTTTCTCAATGGGAAGCCAGTTTTCGGTTAAAAAACGTAAGCCCATCTGAATGTCAATATAAAGATATATTTTTAACATTTTTTGGCAATAAGAATATTGAGTTGGTGGACCGTTTTTGTTATCCTGATTCGATCGAAACTTTATCTTTTAAGGAAATTAAGTCAATATGTTTTAAACTATTTAAACCGACGTCAACAGCTTTTGCTTCTAGATTTGATTTCGTTAGATTACGGAGAACAACTGAAACCATAACTGAATTTGCAGATAAAATTAGAACAATTGGCAAGCGTTGTCATTATCTTAATGATATTGACGAGCGTTTACGTGATCAGTTTATGGTCGGCATGGAAATACCGGGATTGGAAAGAGATCTTAGAGCTCTATATCCCGACGGTCTTGATAGAGATAATAATGTACTGACTTTTCAATTTATTCTTGATCTGGCATTAGCTTCTGAGCGAGCAGATAAAGAAATGGCAAATAAAAATATGTCAGTTGTTAATAAGATAAATGTTAATAACAAAAGAAATGATAATGATAATAATTATAAACATCCAATAAAAACGACGACTACAATTGATAAAGGCTATAATAAAGTCAAGTATAATAATACATTTGATAAAGAGAATAATAACTACAAATATAATAATGATAAAGATTATAATAAACTTAAATGTTATAAATGTGGTTTTATTCATAACCGAGAAGTGAGATGTCCAGCTACAAATGCGGCATGTAATAAATGTAAAAAAATTGGTCATTTTGCAGTTTGCTGTAAATCAAAGAATTTAAATTATATAAGAGTGTCATCAAGTGATTCTATTCATAATATTTGGAAGATTCAACAAAATCGAGAGAATCGAGCAAAACTAACTGCAGAGATAAATGGGTTAGATGTTGAATTTGATTTTGACACTGGTGCACAAGCGTCATTGATAGGAATTGATATATGGACCAACCAGTCCATTGACTGCATATGGTGATCATCCGTTAGACGTCAAGGGCGAGACCCAAGTCAATGTTAGGATTGGATCACAGACAAGGACTCTACCAGTGGTAATAATGAATACAACTGGGGTGCCTCTTTTCGGATTACCATGGATTATAGCATTCAATTTAGAAATGCCTCGTCAGGTTATGATTAAACAAGTACGCAATTTGGTCAACAATATTGAAAAAGAAAAATGTTGCATAACACTAGATTCTAGAATTCGAGATTTGATTAATAAACACCAAGAAATTTCGGAAGAGAATCAAGATTCTAAACATGCTTTGGTTATTCGAAGTATTAATTTGGATGATATGCAATTGTCAGAAAATATTCTGCGAAAAGAGTCGAAGCAAGATTTAATATTAAAAAAAGTAGCAATACATATTCAGCAAAGTTGGCGAAACTTTGATCGTCATAAAGATAAAGAAATAGTTAATTTTTATAATCGACGGGAAGAGCTTTCTGTCAATCGTAATATTATAGATGGAATGGGAGATTGGTTATTCCTAATAAATTAAGAAATGCAGTGTTAGGAATGATTCACTGGGGACATCCTGGGGAAAATGTAATGAAATCTATTTTTAGATTGTATTGTTGGTGGCCCAGATGTGATGTTGATATAGAAAATTTTATCAAAATATGTTCTGGATGCCAGAAAAATAGACCATGGTTAGAAGTTGATCTAATGCAGAATACCTCTGCTGATGCTATGATAAAACGACTAAATAAATGGTTTTCTAGGTTTGGAATACCCAAGTACAGTGTGTCAGACAAAGGACCACATTTCTTATCAGGGGAATTCCGTAGGTAATGTGATTTAAATAACATACGTCATATACGTTCGGCACCCTATCATCCAAAAACTAATGGATTAGCTGAACGTACAGTACGAACTTTGAAAGGTCGGTATTATGCAACGAGAGATTCAATTAGCGATCCCGAAGAAGCTATGACACAGGTTTTAACAACCTACCGATTGGAAGAGCATAGTTCCACAGGGAGATCTCCTGCTAAAATTATGTTTGGGAGGCAATTGAAAACAAGTCTGGATTGGATCCGATCAAATGCCGAACACGAAATAGTAAGGGCTAATGATAAACAAAGCCTTCATCATGATTTACATTCAAAGGAAAGAGAATTTGAAATCTCACAACCTATATGGTTAAATAATGAAAATACCAATGGTTGGAGAGAGGGAGTAATTAAAGAAAGAATAGGACTTTATTCTTATATTGTTGAATCTTCCGGGAAAACATTACGGAAGCATGCAGATCAGTTAAGAAATCGTTTAGTTATCCCAAATCATGAAAGTTCTTTGGAAGTTACAGAAATGGTTGTGCCAGTGAATGAAGCAAATACAAACACAAATACAAATACCACATTACGTTGCTCAGCAAGAAACCGTAAACCTACAAAGAGGTTTATTGAAGAAATCTAATTTTAAATTGTTTGAAGGAAATGTAATAAATTAATAAATGATTAATTATGTATATTGTATATTAAAAATAGAATCGAACATTCGAAAAATAGAATAAAATATTTGATATCAAAAATAAATTTAAATATAAATTAGTAGTCGTATTGTTTATAATTTAGTAGTTGGTATTACTACACCCCCCCCCCCTCATCAGCGGGAGACTCCCGCATTTTTTAGTTTACACGCAGACATCTCTCTTCCGCAAAACTACCGCAATTCGCAAAAAAAATTTTTAGCAA